CTTGGGATAAGTAGGTGTACTAGTTACTGTAAAACATAGTCTTGTTCTGTCAATGTATTTTAAGGCAAATATTTCCTCTTTAACGTTAAGCAATAGAGCACTAGAGGTGAAAATGACAGTTTTTAGTGTTCACTTTTCTTTTTTTTTCTCTTCATCCTAACAAAAACATATACTCCAGATTGTATGATGTGTAAGGGGTAGAGCCAAAAGTCAAATCAGATTTCTTTCAAACTAAAGATTATGGTCTTGGATTCTTAACCTATCTTGCATCCAAAAGAATTAAATACACACACTGTGCATCACATACAAAGAAGCCAAGAAATAATTATCAGCTGCTAAAGAAACAACAGAAATGCTCATCAGAAATGACACTACCAACTTCCATTATCAAAAGGGTGGAACCAGACACAAACACTTTCAAGGCTTAATTTTTCTCAGGGTTCCTTCCGAATTCCAGCGATGCTGATTGGCACCTGACTAGGTCAGGATCTTTGGAAGCTCATTAGTGCAAGACTGGACTAAGAAAATCCTAAGGTAATGAACACTGACGTTTTAATCATTCACAGGAGTCCCTACAGGATACGGCTATTGTGATACACAGTGTAAAAGCTTCTCTACAAATGGCAATTACATGATGCACACTGTCACAGTGAGAGTTCCAGCCTGGCTGCTTGCTGAACCATCTTAGAAACAAATTGTATACTGACGTTTTAAAAGATGCCTAAGTTCCCCAAAGGCAAAACTGCATTAAATATGTTTCTGCCACATACCCAGGACCACTGTGAGAGTTCATTTCAAAACTCAGTCACAGTCCAGCAAAACAGACATTTAAAACTCTACTACTTCTGGACACAGCACCCAGGGCTATTCCCTCTCTGCCCGGAGTCCCCAGCTCGTCCTCTACATGTAATAACAACCCACTTATTTAGCACGTGCCATGTACGAGCTCTATGGTATGTACTTTGCATGCATTATATCATTTATTCCTTTCTATAGTCCCATAAGTAGGTACTATTATATCATTCCCATATTATAGATGAGGAAACATAGGCAGCTGCTTCAAGTTAGAGAGACAGCAAGTGGATTTGAGCAAAAATAGGATTTTAACGCAGGTCTGTCTCACCCCCAGGCTCTTGCTCTTAACCCCTAAATGAGGAGCTCTATGAATGGGTCGATCATATTTCCCTTACATTTGAATATGGATTATGATCATTCTTTAATACACTGTCTTTTTTTCCTCTAAATTATATTTTATTGATTATGTTATTACGGTTGTCCTCGTTTCTCCCTCTTTGACCTCCTCCACGCGCCACCCCCTCTCCCTTTGGCAACCCCCACACCATTGTTCATGTCCATGGATCATGCATGTACATTCTTTGGCTACTCCATCCCTACACTGTCCTTTGCATCCCCATGGCTATGCTGTAACTACCTGTTTGTACTTTTTAATCCCCTCCCCTCCTCACCCATCCCCCACACCCCCTTCCCATCTGGCAGCCATCAAAACCCTCTCCATATCCATGACGCTGTCTCTGTTCCTGTTTGCTTAGTTTGTTTTTTACATTCAGTTGTTGATAGATATATTTTTATTGTCATTTTATTGTTCACAGATTTGATCTCTTTCTCTTAAATAAGTCCTTTTAACATTTCATATAATAATGGTGTTGTGATGATGAACTCCTTTAGTTTTTTCTTGTCTGGGAAGCTCTTTATCTGCCTTTTGATAATCAATGGTATCTTTGCTGGGTAGAGTGATCTTGGCTGTAGGTCCCTGTTTTTCATGATTTTAAATATTTCTTCCAATCCCTTCTTGTCTGCAAAGTTTCTTTTGAGAAATCAGCTGACAGTCTTATTGGAATTCCCCCGTAGGTAACTAATTACTTTTCTCTTGCTGCTTTTAAGGTTCTCTATCTTAAACCTCTGGCATTTTAAATATGATGTGTCTTGGAGTGTGCCTATTTGCATCCATCTGGTTTGGGGCTCTCTGTACTTCCTGGGCTTGCATGTCTATTTCCTTCCAAATTAAGGAAGTTTTCTTTCATTATTTTTTCAAATAGATTTCCAATTTTTTGCTCTTTCTCATTTTCTGGTACCACTGTGATGAGAATGTTGGAGTGCTCGAAGTTGTCCCTGAGGCTCCTTATGTTATCCTATTTTGGGTTTTTTTGAGGGATTCTTTTTTCTTGTTGTTCTGATCAGTTGTTTTTTGCTTCCTTATGTTCCAAATCACTGATTTGATTCTCGGCTTCATCCACTCTACTGTTGTTTTCCTGTAAATTGTTCTTTATTTCAATTAGTGTATCTTTCAGTTCTGACTGGATCTTTTTTATCTGTTGAGGTCCTCACTAAGGTCCTTGAGCATCCTTATAACCAGTGTTTTGAACTCTGAATCTGACAGATTGCTTATCTCCATTTTGTTTAGTTCTTTTTCTGGAGTTCTGAGCAGTTCTTTCATTTGGGCCATTTTTTTTGTCTCCTCATTTTGGCAGCCTCCCTGTGTTTGTGTCTATGTATTAAGTAGAGGTGCTATGTCTCCTGGCCTTGGTAGGATGGCCTAATGTAGGAGGTGTCCTGCAGGGTCCAGTGGCACAGCCTCCCCTATCACCCAGGCTGGATACTTGAGGTGTGCCCTTTGTGTGAGTTGAGTACATCCTCCTCTTGTAGTTGAGCCTTGGTTGCTGTTGGCCAGTTGATGGGAGGGGTTTACTCAGCCAGTCAGCTGCAAGGATTGGCGGTGACCACTTACCACCAACCTCTGCTCTTCATGGAGGATCAGCTGTGCAGGGTCAGGATGGCAGTGCTCCAATGTGGTCTGTAGCTCCCCACCGGGTGCATAAGCTCTGGGCTTTCCCGGGTGGTGCAGGCCAAGGTCAGTCCCCACCTGTGTTTTGCCGAGGGCCACCCTGCCTGAACTATAAAGGAATATGAGATGGCTGCTACTTGTGCTGGGCTTGGAGATTCCCAGGTGAAGCCAAGCTGTGAACCTAGGCTGGTAGCAGCTAGTGCTGGACCTGAGGCCACTTAACATGGTATCGGGGGCTGGGGGCCCACTAAGTCTAGCTGTTGTTTGAGAGAATTTCAGAAGTTGTAAAGCATGAGCTAAGACTACCCATTCATAAGGAAAAGCAGCTTCAGTGGGCCTGTAGGTTGGGTGGGAACAAATCTCTGTGGCTCTCCAGGGTGGGGCAAACAGTGTTAGCCAGGTTGATGGCATCTCTGACATGTCACCAGGCTGCCCGCTCTGTGGGGGGAGGGTTCAGAAAAGGAACAATGGACTCTGCCTGCCTTTCCATGTGGGAGAAAGCTGTCCCCTATCTGTTGTTTAATCCCAGACACTTCAGCTCCTCTCTGTATGCCACTGGTGTCTTTCAAGATGCTACCCCAGTGCTGGAGCTCAGAGAGTGAGTCTGGGTATGTCTGTGTGTGGGTTCTTTAAGAGGAACTGCTTGGGACTCCAGAAGTTTCTTCCACCAACTCAATCCCTGCTGGTTTTTGTAGCAGAAGGTACGGGGACTTATCTTTCTGGAACTGGAATCCTGGGATGGGGGCCTAGTGTTGGGTTGGGACTCCTCACTACTGAGATATTCCTTCCGAATTTTAATCCACTACATGAGGGTGAGGGACCAGCTCATTCCGTTTCTCCGCCCCTCCTACCACACTGGATGGATGTGGTTTCTTTAATTCTGTTGTTGTCAGACTTCCATTCGACTCAGTTTCTGATAGTTCTGAGTGATGGTTGTTCTACATTTTAGTTGTGATTTGATGTGGTTGTGTGGGGAGGTGAGCCATGTTTACCCCTGCTGCCATCTTGACTGGAAGTCAATACCCTTTCTCTCAAACCTGTGAGAAATCAATGTAATTGACTGTCAAACCTGGTTACACATTGTAATCACTATGGTTGCTTTTAAAATACCCAGTGCCCAGGCTACATCCCAGATTAAATAAATTGAAAATTCTGAGGGTGGCGCACAGGTGTCAATATTTTTTTTAAACTCCCAGGTGATTCCACCATACAGCCAAGTTTGCGATCCAGGGCTCTAATAATTATTGAAACTTGAAAATAATATTTCAGGAGGTAGATAGATCAAAAGAGCTGAACTAACACAATCTCTAGCATTGTTATCAACTGTAATCCACTTTCCTAAAAAAAAAATTATTAGAAAAAATCTAAGAGATTCAAAAAAAAAAACCCCTCTGAAATCATAGAATATGATCCTCAGTATAAACAAAATTCTTTTTAGTTGGTGCTACAGAGAAACACACAGGAATATACAAACATACACATCGGCAAGATAACGTGAGTTCTCAGCCAAAAGGAGCTCATAGTCATAGACCTGTGTTCACTATGGCTTCCACACGTCAGAAAGCAACAACTGAAGAGAATGAAACACACTCCCAAATTAACCCATGACAGTCCTTTTTCCAAAGCTAATTCTAATGGGTTTCTTCCTTGATTTAGGTCATTAGTAAATGAAAGCCATTTGCATTTCACAAGCATGTTTAAACATCACAAGTTTTGTTTTCCATAATGGAAGACAATGTAATTGATTAGTTATGGGGTCACATGACCAATCAAGAGAGGATTTTAATCACTCACTGTGAATAATAACAGAATGGACATAAAATTTATAAATTTGTTCACTGTTCTGTTTAGTTATAAAAATCTGGTTATGATAAATATTTGTATTACCGACTTTTATCACAATATAATTATACCATTTTTTAAAATTTTCCCTACCTCTGTTGCTTTACGGAAAATTCTGTTTTGGCTGATCTTGCCTATTTTTAGTCCCAGTTACATCGTAAACTGGCAAAGCTGAATATTTCTCAGGGTTTGCTTAATTAAAATTTGATTCAAATAAGAAAAACACATTAAAATGTTTCTTATTTTTATAATAGTTATGTTGTACTCTCAGAGCAACGTGACATGGTTTTTCTTAATGTTTCCAAAGTAAGTGTTCTGGCCCAAGCAGCATTCAAAAGAAAAAATGTCTACTCACAGGGATCATCCAGTTGGCCAGGTCGCCGTACTTGGACACCTGCATCGCCCCTAGCATTGTCAGGTTGACATGCCCTCTGAGAAAGAAAAAGAGGAGATAAAAGGCAAACTTCGCAAACTTTATGTCCCCTCCACTTGCAATTGCCAGCAATTAAAATAAATAATGCTATATTCCCCAAAATGCATTTGCTTTTCCCCACCCAACACCTGATTTCCAAATATATCAGCTCAAGCTGATGTGGAGAAATACCACTAAAGAGTTCTTTTCAAAAAAATTATAGCTTATATTGTTTCCAAAAAACAAATTAAAAACAGGTGTACACAGTGAGTTTGTTTCCTTCAGTGAAGGAGAATGTGGCTTGATTTGAAAGCAAATATCAGCTAGAAAATGAACACAGTTTGTAGAAAATGTTAGGATCCTCAGAGAAAGCCTTGCAAAAATGTTTACTTCACGATAGCTGGCACACAGATACATAGTCCGTTTGGGGGGCTCTTTTAATAACAGCGGGCTGGATGTTCCAATTCCCAACGTTTGATGTAAGTAATTTCACATCTTGGTGCAGCCAAACAAGCCCAAGATGGCTTTCTGGCTGGGAGAAGCCTCTATGTCTCCAAGCCTGGCTCACACAGCCAATGACTCAGCTCAGGCCGCAGCAGGAAACGTGAGCAGCTCCGTTATTACGTACCCTCTAATCATCGCAAATGACTCATCGCTGGAGAAGTAAGAGGCTCCTGGAAGAACAGTAACCGTTTCCTTGCCTACAAACACAGAGAGACACGAAAAAGAAAAGGAAAAAGAGAAAGGCTCTTAGATTTCTAAGAGTATTATGGTGGAGGGAGGGGTGAATACTTCCTGTGTCTCCTAAGGAACTATAAGGCTCCCTTTACCAAAATGCAGTGGCAATTTGGGGTGTGGGGGACACAGTGGGAACTGTCCGCTCTGCGGGGAGCAGCATTTCGTCACTAACGTTGTTCAGGTTTGCCCTTGCATGGTGATAATGAAGAGCAGACCAACTTTTAATTTCATTACTGTTTTTGAAATTCTCTAGACATTGCAGCCCCTGTTGCCTATACCCTTCCGGGCCTCTTAGCAGCCCCACCCCCGGCACCAGCCCCACCCCTGGCACCAGCTCCCGTGCTAAATGCAAATAGGAGTGAGGAAGCAAGGAGCTCCTGGGAGGCACCTGTCACAGCCCGATGCTACTGTGGTCACTGGAGCAAAGAAATTGCAGAGTAACCATGAAGAAATGCAATTTTGAAGGGAAGGCCAATGGAGAGGCTCCTCAGTTATTCCTTAAAAACCAGTGAATAATCGAGAAAGAGAAGACCCACCTAACTCTCCTTAACATCATTAGGACTGAATCTTCTCTTTCAATCTCAGTCTATCTCTTGCTCTCACTCTCTCTCCCCCTCATCTTTCCTTTCTTCCTTTCTGTTTCTAGAAAAACTCTAGGACTTGGATGAAACTGGGGGACAACATCCTAATGCTGGCAAAAGTACTGAATGTTAACTTCCGAGAGGAGAGGACCTCTCTCAAAACCTACGTTACATAATAAAAGTTCAGAACTGGGAAAGATCTTCAAGGTCATCCAGTCCCCACGCAACTCATACGGTCACCTGACTCACACCTAAGTTCCTTTCTTCTTGTGACCTACTTCCTGTCTGTTCAGGAGCTTCAGGCTCCCAGGAGAAGATCCTGGTCCCAACTAGAAGAGCATTCACAGGCCACTGTGCCAAAGGTAGGTCCACTGTACGAGAACACTCCGCGCACTACCCCCAGGCCATGGGACAGACAAAAGGGAAGGGAAGAAAAGGTGCGATTCCAAGACGGGACCAGAGAAAGGCTCCTGGACACAACAGGACCAGAGTGGCCTGACCACGCCCGGCTGTGCGGCACAGCTGCACACAGCCTCTCACGCCTTCTCTGACAGCGCACTTCTCCACCTGCATCTCTCTCCATCTGAGCTCGACAATGGAGGACGAGAAAGACTATTTCTATCGTGCTGAAATATTCATCCCCCAGAGGAGTTCAATTCTAAATAATGGAAACATTTTCACATCTTTCAAAGCACCATAAAGCTAGAAAGCTTTCGAAAATACTTTCTGGTGTGGCTAGTAGGAGCTTTTAGACAGCACACAAGATCTGGAGGATGAAAGGAGGTAATGCAGGTAAAGCTCTAGGTCTAGTGCCCGGCACAGAGAACGGACTCCATAAGCATTGGCTTTTATTATCCCTCCCGCCAAACAAGGCTGTTGCTCCTCAAGGAATAAATGCTACGGGACCGAGCAATCGACTTTATGGTGGGGTTCCACAGCCTGCCTGTGAACTCCAGGTTTTAGGAAAGGCATAATATGACTAAGCCATGTCCTAACACAAATTCCACGTCCAGCAAGTTCAGCTCTTCACCAACCCTGTGAGCTGGTGACGCAAGGAGGAATATTTCACAGGATGATAAAGCAGAGAAACAGAAAAAAATCTCAATTCCCTTGCTCCCTGATTTAAATCACATTGACTTCCAAATAGCCATTTCCACTGCTAGTACATAGAAGGCATTACGTACCACTTTGCAGGAAACTTTGAGATCAACGCTGAGAGCTTCAGCTCCCGCCGTGTGATTCATGAAGCATAGTTTTATTAAAGAGCCCAGGAAACAGCTCTCATGAAGAAAGTTGTCAAGTCCCTGATAACACATCCTGGTATCTTAAAAATTACACTCTTCAGAAGCAAAGTTAATTTTCAGCATTTTTAAACATCCACTAGCTAACCAAAAATAGATATCCTCAAGCTGAATCCATGCTTTTAAAATACGATGTCCAAATGCGGTCAAGAAATAACTATAGCTAACGATATGATCAATGCTTTGAAGAAAAAGGGCTTCCTTATTTGGCTCTTTCTGACTGATTCTTTTCTCCTCCCATTTTTCTGTGTATAAAAGTCTAGATGCTGCCCTAGCCAGTGTGGCTCAGCAGGTTGGGCGTCATTCTACAGACCAAAAAGTTGCCAGTTCAATTCCTGGTCAGGGCACATGCCTGATTTGCAGGTTTGGTCCTGGTTGGGGCACATATGAGAGGCAATCAATGGATGTTTGTCTCTCACATAGATGTTTTTCTCTCTCTCTTTCTCCCTCTCCTCCTCTCTCTCTAAAAATCAATAAAATATTTAAAAATAAATAAATATCTAGATTTTCATGGTATTTGGGCAAAAGAGTTTCTCAATTTCATGAGTTACACGAATCTTTTGGCTTGTGATTTAACATGCCATTACTCAACACCAAGCCAATGTCCACTACGGACCTGGAAAAGTGTTACAAACAAAACACAGATGCCCTAAAGTAATGGCTTTCGACTGTGACCCCCAACAGAATCACACAGAGGGCTAGTCAAAATGCAGCCTGCTCAGCTCAGCTCCCAGACTTTAAAATTCCGGAGGCATGGGTGGGGCCTCAGAACTTCCCGTTTCTATCAAGTCCAAGGGGATGATGGTGCTCATGCGGCAGATCTGGGGACCCTGCTTTGGAAACAATGCCCTTAGCAAAAGGGGCATAGTGTCCAGTGGGAGAGATGCACGTACACAACTAAGCTGCAGAAGAGTCTGCAGAGGAAAACAAATTACCGACAAGGAGGTGGGGAAGAAAAAGTAAGGAGCCTGAGTGAAAAAAAAAAAAAAGGTTTGGTGAAGGGCCCAGGAAGAGCCAAGGGCAGAGGAAGGAAAGCAGGAGTCGTGGCAGCCGTGAGCGCAGCGCACCCAGGAGTGCGGTGTGGGGGACTCGGCACCCTTGCAGAGCGCCGAGGAGGACCAGGCTGGGGAGGTCCACCGCCACCATGAGACGGCCCCGGCACGCTGCACTGTGTGTGCTGCGTCCACAGGCCTGGGAGACCCGGGAGGCGGCACGGACGCCTGCAGAGGGGGTCTCCTGCACGGCACGATGGACGTCTTGGACTGGGCAGCTCCTCATGGGGCTGTTCTGGTTATTGCAGGGCGTTTAGCAGCGTCCCTGCCCTCTGCTCACTAAATGCTAATAACGTCCCCAAAGGTATGACAATCAAAACTGTCTCCAGACGCTGTCCAATGTCTTCAGTGTCCCCTCTTTTTACCCACTGAGATCTCCAGCTCTAGAGGCACAAGGCAGGGATTTATGACCGTGGGATTAACACAGTGGGTTTTTCTACAGCAGTTTTAATCAAAGGTTAGTAACTTCTACATTATCTATACATTAAAATCAGCAAATAGAGAGAAATAGAAAAGAATGCAAAATGCACATTAACATGAAAGCTAAGACACACAGGGGACATTGAGAACATTTTCAGTTACACTGGGATACTGCAGACCTTTGCCAAGACCTCTGAAATATTCTAATCGCTGCCTTCTGCGCCTTTGTAAAACCCAGTTTTTCAGCAAGTGTGGCTCAGCATATAGGAAGAAAAGTCCCGAAGCCAGGAGTAGAAGACTGCGTGCGTGCAGTCTCCAGCGATGTGATCTGAGCACATCACTTCACTTCTCTGGGTGCAGTTTCCCAGTCTGTATAATGAGGTTTCACTTGAGGCTCAAATGCTATAACACATGTACCAAGTATGCTGTCAACTACAGAATGCTCTAAGAGTGGTGACTCATTTTTTACATAACTGTATGAGATTATTATTTAGAAAAAAGAATCCTTAGAAATAGTTCTATTATTATTTTAAAATGTAATACACTGATTTTACCCAGAAATATAATTCTATATTCATTTCAAGGGACTTGTATAAAAATATCCTTTCAAATTTATGCAAAAAAAAAAAAGAGGCCTGATCTCTCAGGTAATTTCCAAATTTAAGGAGTTGAAGAAACAGCCAATTTATATTTTGCATTCTCTAGCGCAAAGAATTTCCTCCCTAATTTGGACAGCTCCAAAATCAAAAACATCATAAATCCCAAAGAAGACTTTGATGAAAGAGTTACAAAGTTATCAAGATGATTTGCAGCTTGGCTTCCCAAAAGCACCAAACTACTGTTTTACAAAGTAGTTTAAGATTCTACATGACATTTCAGAAGCTGAAATATAAATCGTTCGGATTGAGATAACTTTAAACAACAGAAACGCCCACCATCCAACAATGTCATTGAAAAAATTAACTCTTTTTCCAAGGAAAGTCGGTTCCATGAACTCAAGCCTGAAATTTAGAAAATGGAGCTATTCATTTTGCAAATAACTCACTAACATCATAAGTTCATTAAACCAAGCAGCAAATATTTTCACAGATCAATGAGCTATTGCTAAAAGGTACAGTACGCTTAAATTACAGCCTTGGTTAAATGTCATTGCTTTATCACAGTGGGCCTTTCAGAGTCGAGTCGTGTTAACTAATTCAGCTATTCAATGAAGCTGTTTTATGTCCCAGTATTCTAAGTATCAAACATCAATTCCACTTGGCAGCTGGCCTTTATGCTCAGCTCTTGTTCCTCCTCTTCTGAGAACTGCAGACTATTGTTGAATGTGGAGTAACACTAATGCTTTTTCATGGGTAGAGTGAATAGGAGTTAAAGAAGGGCACAGAAAATCAGGCTAGAATGATAAAAATTAGCTCCTGACGAGCAGCCGCCTCCTACGCAGCACCTTCAGCCTCAGCACAGTGGCTGCGGCGCATGGAGCCAGGGCAGTAACACCGGCCGGAGGGTCTCACCTGCTCTCCTCCTGCAGGCTGCTCACACATGCCGCCCTAGCTGCTAGTCAAGTGAAAAGCTCACAGCAAAAGGAAAAGCATCTGAGTGTGGGAACAAGGATGCAACAAGGCTAGAGTCCCCTGTTCAAAGAAACTCTATTTATTCCTCATATCACTGGGCCCTACTTCATGGCAGACACCCCCTTAAGCACCTTGAACCTTTGAAGGATGCTCTCTGACCCTGAGGATGACCAGCGGACAGTAAATAGCTCATATAACAAAACCCCAGGGCCCCAGATCTTTTCTTTTGCCACTACGGCCCACGGCCCCACCCTTCTCATCATGAGAGGGCAGGCCTACTGTACCCTGGGAAGGTCCAAGGGGAGGCTGGAGCAGGAGACCCTGTCCTCACCCCAGCTCAGGCAGCAGCAAGACAGCTGTGCTCTTCTCCCTGGTAGGCAACCGACCCTCTCCGACAGCTGCCCGCTGCCCCAGGCTCATGGAAACTCCCTGTGGTGCTTCCCCATCCTTTCCTGGTTTCCCTGATCTTGCCCACATCCCCGTCAGTCTTCCATCCCTTACATTCTCCCAGTTACAGCCAGGACCCTGACTGACTGAGCCACCAAGGCTCTTGCCATTCCATGGAGCTTCACCTGCAACTGTGGCTTTATTGATCTTAGTCTGCCCTAAATAGGAGCAGACCTGTGACAGGAAGCCGGGCAAAGGTGGGACTTGGAAAGCTAACCTCTCCTCCTCAACGAAAAATACAGTGAAAATGCTCTAGGAAAAGATAAAGAATCAAGCCCAATTCCTTACTAGTATTCAGCATAGAACTAAATCAATAGCTAAGGAAAACGCTAGAAAAAGATGCAATGAGTGAATTTACCTGCATTGATTAGATCTGCATCAATTTCATTTTGTAAAGGGTATGGACCCTGTCAAATAAAGCAAATTATCAACGTCAGCTAGTAAAAGAAGTTTTTCACAGAATTGCACAGCAACACTGCAATACAAATAACTTCTCTAAAAACTCTAGGAAATTATCATCAAAAAACTTGAGGTGGATCTTTAAAAAATAATTCTGTTGTTTGCATGGCTCTGTTTCTCACATTGATTAGTCTTTTCTACACTAATAATTTTGTGACTGGGTAAATGAAAACTATTTCTAAAAATTACCAAAGTTTGAAAGTAATGCTATTAGAAATATGTCAGTAAAACAAAAAGTAACTATTTACTACCTACTATGCAGCCAATGTTATTTAGAAATCTTCCTCTTAGTATCAATAAATATAAACTAAAACTAAATGGCTGCATTATTTGGCTAAAGGACCCAGAGAGGCAAAGTTTCAGCTTTTTGATATGTAGAAGCTGAAGATTTGAATTTGGGATTCTAACCTTATCTCTCACAACATCTGAGTTTTGTAACCTTTGTTTTCTCTTTGCCTACTTATTCTCAGTAAGTTTTTTTTTGTATCTTTTTTTTATAAGGCATCCCTAATTACTTGAATGGGGCAAGGGGTCTCATAACATAATATATATTGATCAAAAAAGGGAGAAAAGGATAAAAGAGAAAAGAAAAGGGCATGATAAAGCCAAGAGTGAGAATATACTGGCTGTAAAACTTTAACAGATTTTCTAAGGGACCAGAAATTCATTCTTTAAATAAATTGAAGTGTTAACTAATGTTTAGAACTATGTACATTTTTCTTTAAACACTGACCATGGGTAATTTACATAGACTTATTTCCCTCATCTTCAAAGTGAGAGAACTGATCACTCTAGAAATCTCTAAGGTACATTAATAATATAAGCCATTGACTTCAACATGAATCTGCTTTTATCTAGACACATACCATTTTTGTCTTTGAAAACAGTCATGATTATTGCCTCAATGGATCAGTATTGATGCTATACCTATGATCATCATTGGTATTTCAAATACTAGCTGTACATTTTCTATATGTACCATTTTTATTGCATTAGTAGTTGAGATTCACTGAGGAACAATGAAGATTAGGAATATTATAAATTGGCAAACTACAAATAATCTCTGCCATAGTTAATAATTAAATTAAAACTGTCATCCAGGAAGTGAAAGTGCATCTTACTTCCATTATAATATTGAGTAAAAGCTGTGGCCACATTCTATGAGAATACTGAACTCATCTGGAAGGTTAATTTTGAGGAAAAGAAATTTCTGCCCTCTTGGACAATAGGGCCTTAAAACAATAACTAGATGAGAAGAATTTCTAAGACTTTTTGAATTAATCAACTATCAAAAAATGTCCCTGCCCTAAATGGAAACCTTACTCTTCAGTTTTCATTCAGAGCCTTACTGAATTTTACTTCACAGAGAATTGCTAATGACCTCTACTCCTGTCCAAGGACAAGAGAGTTACAAAGAATGAGCTGAGCAGGAACCCTGAGGCCTCTCTGAAGCAGGCACCCAGGGGAGACAGGAGCCCACCACCTGATAAAGGGGGAGCAGTCACATGCTCAGGAAACTACTGTCTACTACGGAAAACACAACCCTACATACTCACAATCCCACCAGTCTGTGGGGAAGTTAAATATTTTATTGTCCTGATAAACAGAAAAATAAGTGTGGGAACTTTAAGCTGACAACTCTCAGTTATGGCATTTCACTAGACGGGGAGAGTGTCTCATTCTCTATCAAGACCACAGAGATATGACTTTAATCTATCTTACCAAACCCAGGATTCCGTTCTCGCTTTGCAGATGAACAGTCATATTCGGGCTGATAAAGTTGCTGGCCAGAAGTGGGATCCCTATGCCCAAATTAGCTAGAAAAAAAGATGTTAAGGCAGAACGCAGAAAAGGGGGAGAGATTATGCCATAAACGTTCTACATATATAAATCTGAAGAGAAGCCTTCTTTAAAGGCACTTGCTCTGAATGTAATCACTGAGTACATTCTCCAGTCACTGTCTCGGCACTATTTTGTCATTTTTTTTTAATCCCTAATTGGTCACAGCTTTGTCAATAACACTAATACGCTTCCATAAATATATCGAAGTGGTGGCTTCAGAAGACAAGCCAGGAGGTCATTTGCACTGTAAGACATATTTTATTTTCCTTAATGTGCTCAGCAAACTTGGACTGATGTATTTATGACCTGTGACTGATATATTAAACATGAATTGACCTTTGTTTAAACGTCATTTTGACTTTTCAAAACTCCAACGAAAAATAAGAATGATTTAACCTACTTAAAAAGGGCCACCATTTCTAAATTTTAAAAAGTTCTCTGACAATACCAAAATGTCTACGTTCAAGTGTCCCCACTCCTTTCGGTGGCTGCAGTAGCATTCAGTGGAACTGACTCTTTCCTAAAACATAAGCAGGGGGAGGTCAGTTTCAGGGACTATAAATGAGACCATACAAAAAGTATCATCAAAGGGCTAATGGAGAGTGTAGAATCTTCTTCCTCTAACCATCAAAATAGGATCTAACCTGATTTTTATGCAAATAGGGTGGGTTCAGTCTTGACTCTGACCAGATCAGAGATATTTAAACAAAACTAACAGACACAGTCAACAGCATGGTGGGTATCAGAGGAAAGGGGCTTGGGGTAGTAAGAGGTTAAGGGGGTCCAACACATGGTGACAGGAGGCGGCTTGACCGTGGGCAGTAAACACCATGTTATCAGATGATGTATTATAGAATTGTACACTTGAAACCTGTATGATTTTATTAACCAATGGCAGCTCAATACATTTAATTTAAAAAAGAGGGACACGCTGCCTTGAACTGCTGCGTGTGCATTAGCACCGCAGAGTAAACCCTCACTGTCACTTAAATGAAGTCGAAGTCCAAGCTGACACTGTACTAACTTACATCTTTCTATCTCATTTTTTGGAAAGCATTTAATAGCAGAATTGGAATCACTCACTGAATACCCTTACAAAACATTAGAAATAAAAGAATATATACTCAGGGAATCTTTGTCACAAGAAACAAGGCATTGTTAAGAAGTTGGGTCTTACAGAGAAAGACAAATACAATATGATTTCACTTATATGTGGAATCTGAAGAACAAAATAAACAAACACACAAAATAGAAACAGACTCATAGACACAGAGAACAGACTGAGGGTACCAGAGGGGAGGGAGGTTAGGGGTTGGGGGACTGGGAGATAAAAACGAAGAGATTAAGAAGTACAGATTGGTATTACAAAACAGTCACGGGCACATAAAGTACAGCATAGAGAATATAGTCAATAATATTATAATAACTGAGTATGGTGCCATTCTGCTTGTATGTGATTTTATAACCACTATGCTATACACCTGAAACTAATACAAAATAATACTGAACGTAAACTGTAATTAAAAAGTAAAATTTAAAAAAAGTTGCAACTTATGTTTCAATGAGTATGCAAATGCCAGAACAGAGAGAAAGGGAAGAGCACTGCTTACAGCTAGCACCTCTGAGATTAGAAACCCTCATCACGGGTAATCTCTAGTCCCAAAAACATTGAGTCAAATGCCAAACTGCACTGAAATCCACTGTGTATGAGAAACTAGAGAAGCAAATTTTTGGCTGCCATTTTGTTACAGGAAGGCAAATGGACTATTCAATATCACACATCTTGCTATCTTTAGGTCATATGCCACATTTTGAAAAAAACTGATCAACAGCTTTAGAAGTTACCAGGACTTGAATGACTCTGTACGCAGCCGGCCTAGCAGCCCGACGGCCTGGGAGAGGCAAGGGCTGCGGCCGCTCGCAGGCCCAGAGGGACGAAGGATACCGTACATGCCGTCCTCAAATTCGAGGGCTGCCCGCCTGATGATCCGTTCCCTCACGTTATCTCCAGGTTTTCCAGGCTTGGTTTTTACATCTTCCTCTTTCCGAACTGATACACGCTTTAAATAAACAGAAACAAATTATTCACGGTTGCAGTGTACCCTTGGATTTGTATCACTGTGAAACTTCAAAGTGTGACTAGAAAAAAAAAATAAACTCTGTCCCACGACTACTATGAGGTAAACATGCACTGTAACAGAGTTTTTAAAAGAGAATATGAATAATAGAATAACCAGAAATAATCCTTTAGAAAGGAAGGGAAAGAGGTCAGATTCCTTTGAAAAGGAAGACACTCACTCTGCCTCTTTGAAGCAAATAACCCCCCTGCTCCTGTCCCGCTGGCTGCCATGGCCGCTGCCTCTCAAGACCCCTGCAACCGCGTCCCCTCGGGGGCTCACGGCCTGAGCCGGCACAAAGGCAGAAAGAGGCGGCCTTGGCCTCTGCACCGCCTCGGCCGGCAGAGAGCATTCAGCAGGTGCGGCTGCTCTCAGTTGCTTGTTTCCTGTAGTGTCTAGACTGGTTTTTGCCACAGGTGCAACTCAGGGATCACAGAAATATCCAGAAGCCAGCCGGGGGAGTATTTGCAACGCTAAATCTCCTTACCGCAGACTCGGGTTTTCACCTGCGGAGGTCCCATCCTTCCTCCCCAGCCCTCTGACACTAGTTTTGGATTGCAGAATGCCTTTCTATTTGATGCCCACAGGGTACAAGGCATCTCTGATTCCCCAGTACCCCCACTGCGTGTCTGTTTGGTTGCTGATCCCTAGATGCTTCTGCATCTTGGTATCAGTTCTGTCTCAGACGGTCACTTTTGCAAGCTCAGAGCTACCTGAAATACCTCCAACGCTCCTGGAAGCCACTCCTTGTCACAATCTCGTAGCCACCAGCTGCCTAGAGCCTAATGCCTAACAATAAAGGGAAGTGATGCTCTTTCCGGACTCCATAAAATGCAAAACAACTTCAAAGCAGAGAAGACACTTCTGAACAATCACACAGTACAAATCTGGCAGGATAAAGCCACTGGAGACCGGATTATCCTTCTCTACGGTACAGGACAGGGTACATGCAGACCTGCACATCCTATGTCAGGACAGCGACAGAGCCTGGAGAACTCAGCCTGCAGGACCACAAGGCCCTGCTGGGCTGCATGACCCACAAAGGATCACGTCCCCTCGCGATGGACACAGGAGAAGCTCCTACTGCGGGCCCAAGCAAGGCTTCCTGCCCAGCGCTGACTCACTAGGATCTGGAACGGCCCGAGGGACACACATCTCTCATACGCGGATCCATAAACACTGACAGTAGAGCTAAGTCAGCTACCTCAATTCTTTTCTCATATTTCTCTCCCTTTATAAGGCGGTGTACATAAATCTTAGGAATATGGATGTCTTCTGGGGCAAACGATCCAACATCCACAATTTCTTCAACCTATACACAAAGAGAAAGAAAATAATTAAATAGTGAAAGGTTAAATTGAACACTTTTTATTTAAAAAATGAAGTATAAGCATCTTCCCTTCCAACTTAAGTTGTATACACAATGTAAATACACACACACAGACATACATATACATACCAGGTGGTGGGCAAAAGTAGGTTTGCAGAGTGAGTACGTAAAGCAGTGTATTCTTGTATTATTATTTATTAAATATTGTATTATTTTCCACACGAACAACTGAAAACCCACTTCTGCCAACCTTGCATAGAAGAGAGAATAAGTGTGTATGTATATGTGTGTGTGATTTATATCGTACCTTCTGGACCCACAAAAAAGAAGAAATTCAAACACATGTGCCTGAACATAAAATACAGAACACAAAACTTCAGAACTTAGTCTTTACCCAAAACAGCCTCAGTTACAAATTTGTCAAGTACAGCTGCTTGAACTCTCACTAATTGCAGTTCAACTACGCACACTTGAAAGCACATCCCTTAAGACCATTTTCAAAATTAATGGGAAATTTATCATACCAAAAACAAAAATCTGTAACATCTGCTTGGTCCGTTGAAGAGCTTTTTAAATAGAGATACAAATGCTATTTCTAACAGTTTTTAATTATTCCCGTTAGTGTCCTAGAATCGTGATCGAAATGCAACTGCTGAAATAATTTTACTTAAAGACCAATTATTAATTTCAATATGGAAATTTCAAAAAGCAAATATTAACTAATAACTAGAAATACCCAATGTAATTAGAACCAATTCACGAGTAAAGGGACATTTTATAGCAATATGCAATGCCCTAAGTAAGACAACTATTATAGAATTCAAAAAAAAGAAAAAAGGAAAAATGCTTTTTTTTTTTTTACATCAACATAAAAAAAATCAGAATAACAAGGATCAAGAAAAACTAAGGTCAATGTTGTTCTGGTCAAAGAATTATCTTTCTGATGCCAAGAAAAAATATTATCTTGAAGATTGTGAGTGCACAGACATCATTCCCAAAGTAAAAAGCTCTTGTATATGGAGAACTGTGCTAAACTGGTCTCCGAAACTAAAAACCAGGCTCTCAGAAGTTTTTGAGGCGAAGTAGCCCTCACACCACACCCCTCCAATGATGAAAGAAAACTGGGACTTACAAGAGCCATTTTAGTTATTGTGCACTGCTCCCAAAGAGCTAAAATGGAATAGGACATGGTGAGTAAGAGCTCTCTTCTTTGATAAACAGAAGGATCTTGACCCAAATCAAACAAGAAAGAGCCAGGAAGCAAGGGGCCGCCTACACTGAAAGGGTGGGCAGAGCTGTATGCTGGCCTCCGTCTGAGAATGAATCAAGGGGAGGGAAGGGGACCTCCCACCGCTCTGTGCTCTGCCCCCTGACCCTGCCCGTGCTCTGGCACCTCCTCCCTGAGTAAGAGGAGAGGAGGCAAGAGGAGGTGGAGGCAGGACACGCAGAGCAGCCTGAGAGCGTCCTGCCACCTGTTCAGCTGATGGGACTTCCAGCCATTAGGGCTTCTTCCCATCTTCACTCTTATGCAATTCAGCCATTTGAAGACGTCTGTGACTTTAAAAATTCATTTATACATTAAATCCATTATCTTGAGGATAAATATAAAGACTTGCTATTTGTGAAAATATTTACCATAGCATTTGTTAAAATATTAAGGAGTTAGAATCAATCTAAATGGTTAATGATAGGATAAACATAAAATATATATTCACATAATGAATCATTATGCTCTCATAATATTTAATGACATCTCATAATTTAATGTTTCATAAAAATGCAAGATTTTGTAATAAATAGTTACATATAGACTCTTTGATCCTCTATGTAAATTATTTTTATACCTACCAAAACTACACAGAACTATTAATAATTATTATCCCCAGGTAATAGTACAAGTTATTTTTGTTTCCCTTCTACTTTTAGAATCAAGGAAACCTACAACGTTATATGTTTCTAATGATCCAATAGAATCCATGTAAGTAGTTTCTAAAACTAGAAAATACATTAGTGGGGAATGCAATAAATTCTTTAAATTAGTTAGACAGGTACCACTAGGAAAAATGGTGGTTTCTAAACTCTAAAAGTACTTACAACATTATGAAATAAATTAAGAAAGCCCTTTTGCTGACATTTTTTAAGATAATAATGTGAATTTTTCTCCATGTCTAATGCTGTTCCAAAAGCTCGGGCCCTTCAATTCAATTCAATTGCAGCAGTTCTGTAACTGGTCTCCCTGCTTTTAAGTCAAGGTAAACTAACTGAAATAAAGAACAACTTATAGGTAAACAACAGTAGAGTGGATGAAGCTGAGAATCAAGTCAATGATTTGGAACACAAGGAACCAAAAAAAAACAGCCAATCAGAACAACAAGAAGAAAAAAGAATCCAAAGAAAGAAAGAAAGAAAGAAAGAAAGAAAGAAAGAAAGAAAGAAAGAAAGAAAGAAAGAAAGAAAGAAAGAAAGAAAACAAAATCAGGATAACATACGGAGCCTCTGGGACAACCTCAAGCATTCCACATTCTCATCACAGGGGTGCCAGGAGGAGAAGAGAAAGAGACAAATATTGGAAATCTCTTTGAAAAAATAATGAAAGAAAACTTCCCTAATTTGGTGAAGGAAATAGACATGCAAGTCCAGGAAGTACAGAGTCCCAAACAAGATGGATACAAAGAGGCCCACTCCAAGACACATTATAATTAAAATGCTAAAGGTTAAAGATAAAGAGAAAATCTTAACAGCAGCAAGAGAAAACCAGTTAGTTACCTACACGAGAGTTCCCATAAGATTGTCGGCTGATTTTTCAAAATGAAACTTTGGAGGCCAGAAAGGATTGGCAAGAAATATTCAAAGTCATGAAAAGCGAAAACCTACAGCCAAGATTGCTCTATCCAGCAAAGCTATCATTTAGAATTGAAGAGCAGATAAAAAGCTTCTCAGACAAGAAAAAACCTAAGGGAGTTCTTCATCACCAAAGCATTATTATATGAAATGTTAAAGGGACTTATTTAAGGAAGAAGATCAAGACTATGAACAACAAAACGGCAATAAATACACATCTATCAACAACTGAATTTGAAAAACAAACTAAACAAAGAGGAACAGAGACAGCCCTGGCTGGTGTGACTCAGTGGATTGAGCACCGGCCTGAGAAGCAAAGAGTCACTGGATCAATTCCTAGTCAGGGCACATGCCTGGGTTGTGGGCCAGGACCCCAGTTGAGGGCAACTGAGAGTCAACCACACACTGATGTTTCTCTCTATCTCTTTCTCCCTCCCTTCCCCTCTCTAAAAATAAAGAAATAAAATCTTAAAAAGAAGAAGAAGAAGAAGAACAACAACAACAACAACAGCAGCAGAGACAGCCTTGGCTGGTGTGGCTCAGTAGACTGGGTGCCAACCTGCAAACTGAAAGGTCACTGGTTCAATTAGTTCCCAGTCAGGACACATGCCTGGGCTGCAGGCCAGATCCCCACTTGGGGGCGTGCAGGAGGCAACTGATCGACATATCTCTCTTGCACATCAAGGTTTCTCTCTTCCTTCCACTTTCTCTGAAAATAAATAAATAAAATCTTAAAAATAAAAGAGTCCAAGAACAGGGACAGAATCATGGATACAGAGTGTTTTGATTGTTGCCAGATGGGAATGGTGTGTGAGGGAATGGGTGAAGAAGTAAGGGGATTAAGAAGTATAAATTGGTAGTTACAGAATAGCTATGGGCATATAAAATACAGTACAGGAAATGGAGTAGCCAAAGAACTTATAAGCATGACCCATGGACATGAACAAAGGTGGGGGGAGTGCCTGAGGGAGTGAGGGTTGCTGGGTGGAGCGGGGCAAAAACTGGGACAACTGTAATAACGTAATTATTAAATATAATGAAAAAAATCTGAAGTACCAACCAAAAGGAGAAAACATGTTTTCAGACAATCTCTGAAGAGTTTAAAAAAAAAAACAACTGAAGAGGCAGAACCATTTCATCGGTAGCTCCTGAAGGGACTGAGGCTGCTGTGCTGGTTTTGTGTGACCGTGAGAAGGAACCAATTTGGGGGGCGGGAGCCTAACAAGAGCAGGCGATGACCTGAGAGTCAAAGAAATCTGAAAAGAAGAAAATGAATAAAAGGGACTTGTTTTGAAAAAAGTAAAAATAAAGTGTGCAAGAGCACTTATGAATAATGGCAGAGAGGCACCTCCTAAAATCACGAGTGGGTAAGACAGAGAATAAAGAACAAAGAAAAAGCAGCAGTGCAAAGCAATGGGCATGTGCAGTTGAACTCAGCCAAGATCTACCTGGAGGCCAGGTAGCTGGGAAGCCAGCACCGTGCATAGATCTGACGTAGCACCATCTGGCGCATCTAAAAATCCAGACACTCAAGGCTGCTCTAATTAATACTTGTCTTCAGTCATTAGCGAAAAAATAGAGGCTAAGAAATGTTAATTATTATCAACTTGAACTTTTGTTTTCAAAGGTTGCTGTCTCTGCCCTGCACTCTTTCTACTTTATAATTCTGAAAAGTTTTATTACAAAGCTCGGAGAAGGGTAAGAATTCATCCGTGGGTGACAATGCTTTGCTTTCATCTGGCAAACATTTATGTCTCAGGCGAGGGAACAGAGGAGCTGCCAGGCAAGAGCTTCCTTATTTTTTTAATTTATTTTTATTTTTATTTTTTTAGGGACAACCTCAATCCATTATAGCCACAGACATGGGCCCGACCTTGAAGGCGGTTATAAAAAAATCTGCACAACCACAAACCTCCCCCGTGCCCTGCAAAGCAAGGGCTATGGGGGGAAAGAAGGGGGAGGCATCACATTTTTTTCCCCTGAGTCATTTTAACTTTCAAAAAGGTTTAGAATGAACTTTCCGCATTTGCCAAGAAATAAAACAGCAGACAACAACGAGCAATAATGTCTGGAATCAGAAGAAACATTAAATAACCCAGGTGAGCAAAAGCTGACGTCTAAGAAAATGGAAGAGGAAGGCA